ATGTAGATCAGGAATAGCAGAGGCCCAAGTACTGATCCCTGTGGCACTCCATATTCCATGCTCTGCACCCCAGACGTACTTCCATTAAACTCTACCAGTTGCCTTCTATTTATTAAATAGGAGCCCAACAGTTCAACGGTCTTTGGAGCAAATTTATAAAGTTTTAGTTTTTTTAACAACAGCTGTAGGGAAACACAATCGAAGGCCTTTGACAAGTCGCAAAAAAGGAATCCGATGTATTTACCTTCATTATAACCTTCATTTATTACTTTTATGAGCTCATTTATAGCAGCTGTTGTGGAAAGCGAACTTCTGAAACCAAACTGTGACTTATTGAATAGATTATTATTTTCAAAGTAAGATGTTATTTGATTTTTGAGAATGTTTTCAAATATTTTCGAGAGAATAGGTATTATTGATATTGGTCTATAGTTTTCAAGTACATTAGTTTTCCCTTTTTTGTGGATTGGTATAACTTTTGCAATTTTAAGAAAGTCTGGGAATATTCCCTGTTTTATGCTAAAATTTATTAACCGTGTTAAGGGATTTAATATTTCATTCACAATGTTTTTCAGTATTTTGCTATTAAACCCATAATAATCTTGTGGTATATTTTGTACAAGTTCACAAGGAATGTTAACAAAGTAAGAGTTTAAGTCGTCTGGCTTGAGATTACTATCCTGTTTAGTGTGAATTTTCATCATGTTTGTATTATTTTTGACAATATTCCAAATGGATTTTGGGTTAAAATTATGTTCCTTGATATAATTATCATTTGAAAGTTTTTTGCTTTTTTTTATTTCCTCGCGGTAATATTTGCCATAGTCTCTACAAAGTTGGGTCAATTGGGGGGAATTATATGATTTATTTAAATCTCTATAAAAGTTTAATCTGCTACGGATATTTTTTAAATTTTCATTAAACCAAGAAACAGGAGTCGTGTGTTCAAAGTGTCTGAAAGTCTTTAATGGGAACGCCAATTCTGCACAATTTTATAGAAAGGTCGTAAACATTTCCCATTTTTTGTTGGCACATATGTAAGGATTATCCACAAAATCCCAGCATATATCTCTTACCATAACTCTTAAAGCATTCAGTCCCGTCTGTGTAACTGGTCTACACATTGTGTCTATCTTAGCTCTAGTGATAGGCCTATTGTAAACAAAACTAACACTCACACCTAAATGATCTGAGAATCCCATATCAATTATACACTCCCTGCAATCACTCACATTCATAAAAATGTTATCCAAGCATGCATCTCCTCGTGTACTATTTTTTATTATGTTCCTGAGCCCATGTGTACTAAAAAGATCTAATGTACTGAATTTATTTGAACTTTCCTTGAGAAAATCTATATTGAAGTCGCCTAATACAAAAACCTGATAATGAAGATTATTTATAATTTGCAAAATTTTACCTATTATATCCAAAAATGTTGCAAAGTTACCCTGAGGAGGTCGATATATAGTAATGACTATAATTTTCAGTTCACTCGATTGTATTGCACACATTTCGATCTCCATTTCTACTGTGAGCAAATTTATATCATCTCTAGGTACAAATTCTTTGACAAGTGAATTTTTTACTGCAGCCGCCACACCGCCATGAACGTGATACCCACGACAATAGGAAGCTAAAAAAGAATAATTATGTAATTTGGTCTGCTCTAGCTGTACTAAAAACAAGTATGTCATAATCGAGATTATAAGCTTCTAGCTGGTCTATTTTGTTTCTTAAACATTGAGCATTAATATGTAAAAACTTGAGTATATTTTTCCCATCTGAATGGAGGTTTGATTTTAAAAAGTTTGGAATAATTCTTAGGCCTAAACTCTTTAAACTATTTGCTACGTTATTTACATTTTTGATTTGAAATTTAGTGATGATAAAAATTCTTTGTGTCTTTCAAAATTGAAACGCTTAATTCCTACATTACGTGGCCAAAAGTCTGGTTCATACAGTTCTTCTTTTTTACCCATTGGTCCTACAATCAAGAAACTCTTGAGTTGATCTGGCTGTGTTGGGATTTCCTTTATCATAATATCATCCCTTCCAAAGCCTGGTTTATTCTTGATATATGTGTGTATCATAGCTTCATCTGCAGTTCTTTTGATCCTGTTAATGTAGATCCAGACTCGTCTGTCTTCACCCATGAAATTTCCATCTCCTTCAGCTGCATCTGCTCGGCCGAGCCTTTTCCTGTAACCCCTTCTACGTTGGTACATAAACCCTTCTTCTGTGCTTGCGTTGGACGCTTGCCTATTATAATGGCGATTGCTATTGTTACGATTATTGGAAAAATATTGTTACGATATCGTCCGCCAGGCTGTCAAGAATCGATGGCGAAAATACTAGAATCTAGCGAATTATTCTACTTTAATCTGGAAAATTAGATTATCGTGTGTATTCTAGATTTTACAGGAATAGATTTAGGGATATATAAGAAGGCCGGCATTGGTTTGTAAGTTAGTTTCAGTTCGACTGTGATACGATTTAAATAGTGATTGTAAAGAGTTTAATTGTTGAGTTAGTTATTAAAGTAATTAGTGTCAGAGTGTATTGTTCAATCAATTGGTGCTCAGGGTCTGTTGGGACATTTATATGACCAAGCCTGGTGGTCTTCAGCTCCACACGACATTTTGGTGGTAGCAGAGATGATCATTTGGATTCTGGATGATCTCCATTGCATTTAGAGCACTTACTTGTAGTTGTACACCTTTCAGTTATGTTATTGAATGAACTGTATTTGGCGTACGATTTTGGTGCTGGCCTAGGTGGATTACTCGGGATAACTGCGTAATGTTTGTATCTGAAATAAAAACCGTCTGACAAAAGTGTTTTAGATGTTTTTTTTTATTGATAACCCATTTCACTTATTTAAAGTACTCCTCAGCGTGTTTAAATCCAACATTCAAAAACGCGCGTGTTTTAAAGTTACCAATGACAACATCAACAACCAACAACCCGAGAAAGGTCTAAATGTCAACTTTTTAATTATTGATTTGTCAGGAGTAGGTACTTGTAGATAACGTCAAATAAAATATAACAAGTGTCAAACACGAATTAAGGATTCTACAATTATTAGTAATTTATGAATTGATTGAACGTATACCAATAAAAAAAAATAGTGTAAAGTATTCGTGGATAACCGGTCTTTAAAACACTTGCTCTATTTAGAGCACTCCGGCTGCGCCGTCGTGCTCGAAAAATCGCGCGTGTTTTAAAGACCTTAATATCCACTTATACTTTAATATACTATTTTCTTCTCCTGTGATTATAGGGATCATCATAGTTGGTTTGTTCGTTGATTTTGATACAATTCTATGTTCTAGGTTGTGTTTTTTGAGTAAGTTGCTAACCGTTTAATCTTCTATTTCATATTCCATTCCAGTAATTATTACTGAGTAGTGGTGTGGTGTTTTTGTTGTGTTTGCTTGGGAATTATCGCCTATGATAACATTAAAAAATTCTTCTTGCGTCAGTTCTCGTCTTTTTCTTTTACTTTTTCGCTTGCCGGTTTTCGTGGACCAATTTCCTTCACTATCACTTTCCATATATACTTTGCCAGCGCTTGAAAAAGTCATTGCATACATGTATTTCAATAATAGTCACAAACTAACAGAGGAATGTAAACAAGATGTGTTCACTATCTGAATGCTATTCACAGACTGCGATACCTTCTTTTTTTAAAAAAGAATAATTTTCAAAACTCATTTTTGTGCAACATCTAATTTTGAGAGAAGCCAGTATTTCCCCATATACCACTATCCCATAATTCAAAATTGATTCAACAAGAGAGTAATAAATTATTTTAAGTGTAACATCAAGGATGTTCCTTAATTCATAAAATTTATAGATTAGCTTTCCTATTTTCTTGGTAACATAATGTATGTACATGTTCCTTCTAATTTAAATTTTCATCCAGAATTACCCCTAAGTACAATAATGAAGGTGTTCTAACAATAAATTTGTTGCAGCTGCATTGCACTTCGAAAAACGCACTGCGTTTCATGCATTTTAAATTGTTGGAAATCAGGGAATGTATGTGTAGAAAGAGAGAAGGTCATACATTTAGTTTTTTCTATGTTTAATAACAGGAGACTATCATCTAACCATCCCTCTATTTTTTGTAGTGCTGCTCTCTCTTTTACAATTTCCCAGCTAGCTCTATTCAGGACAATAGCAATGTCATCAGCAAAGCAAAAGACAATATCCTCCCCCAATAATTCCATTATTCCATTTATATAAATATTAAAAAGAAGAGGTGAGAGAACTGTTCCCTGCGGCACACCAGACTCCATTGAAAGTTTATCACTCTGCTGATTTCCAATATTTGTGCTTTGTGTCCTACCACTCAAGTAGGATTTAATCAGCTCATTTGGAATACCTCGAATTCCCATACTGTAGGAGAATTTGTTTTGAAACAGTGTCAAAAGCCTTTTTTAAATCTAAGAAGATTGCTATTACTTTGTTACCCTGATCTAAGTTTTTTAAATTCCCTCTGAAACCCTCACAAGTGCATTTTCAGTACTTAGGCTATATGCAAAGGCAAATTGGTTTCTATGAAGTAAATTGTATTGCTCTAAAAATGTCAATAGTTTTTTCCTTAGACACTTTTCAACAATCTTGCTAATGGTGCTAGTCAATGCTATCGGTCTGTAATTCGATAGTGATTTTTTATCCCCCTGCTTAATATAATGGAATAATTACAGTAGTTTTTAGAATATCGAGATAAACACCAGTACTGAAAATGAGATTATAGTTATATGCCTGAGAGGGCTACGCAATGTATCTTTATATTTTTTTATTAGATTCGAAGAAATATTGTCCTCCCACCCTTAAATCTATTTTTTCAAACCCAATATCATTTCCTTTACATTTTCATTTGAGACAGGACCCATTATCATAATTTATACCTTGTATTGTCTTTTGTAATTATTTCACATGTAAGTTTTAATGTATACAAATAACTAAAATTGTGCATAATATTTATGTAGACTAATATCAAAAAAGAAGAGAAAATCAACATAAAGCTAAAAGATGAAGCCAATGAAACTCTCAACGATGATACTCAAGAAGATACTATTGTAAATGACAGCAATGAAGAAAGCAGTAATTCAGATTCAGACAATGAACCACTTATAAAATTTGTCCAAACAAAGAAACATAAAAAGAACACATTTAATCCAAAACTAGAAAAAATCCCATTAGAAATTATTGAAGAAACTTTAGATGATTATCGAGAGCAAAATCGTATGATTTCTAACTGTATTTTATGTGATTTTAAAGGCCTTAATATAAGGAATTTATCATGTCACATGATATTCAAACACAGGTAATTTAATTTATATTATTTATTTGTGCAATCCCTCAACTCTTTCTTTCAGGGAAGCAAAAAGCCATTGGTGTCTAAGATGCAATAAAATTGTCGAAAATATAGAAACTCACAAAAAAACTCACACAAATAAAGAATGGTGTAGATTTTGCCACAAAAACATCTCAAAATGTCATTATCTAGAACATTTAAAAGCTCATGCCGGTTTCGAATACACTTGTCCAGAATGTCCTAAGAAATTTATATCTCAAAAGACGTTGGACGAGCATATGGCTAGACATAGACAACAAACACCTTTTCAGTGTCATTTATGTAATAAGGCTTTCAAATTATTTAATAGGTAGCTATTGTGGATTGTTTAATATTTGTATATGAATTTAATATTTTAGTCTTCAAGATCACATTCTAACTCACGGACGATACAGGTGCGAGGTTTGTGAAAAAAACTTTGAGATACCCGAGTTGTTGGCTTCTCATTTGTGTTCAGGAAAAGTCGTTAAAAAATGTCAATTTTCAGCAACAAAATCTGAAGATTATGTTGAAGAGAATTCAGAAGAATTTGATGAAAATAAAAATTTAGAAGAGTTGAAAGCATGCCAAGCTGAGAAAAAATATTTTGATTGGTATAAGGAAAAATGTTTAAATTAAAGTTAAATTTGAAAATTGTTTTTTTTTCCAGGAAGGGTATCAAAAATGAGGGCGAAACTATCAAAGTACCATCTGATATTCAAGTAGAGAGTTTGACTTGCCACTTTTGCCAGAGAACTTACAAGTAAGGCCCAAATATTAATAGCAGTACTACTGAATTAAGCTTATCCTATTTATTTTTGTGATCAATTTATAAAATAATTATTTTCTAGGACTGCCTATAAACTTCAAAAACATATAGAAGGCCACATGGGAATATTTTTAACAAATTGCCAATATTGCGGTAAAGGTTTCTCTAGCAGAGCCGATATGGCTAACCATGAACGAGTCCATACCAAGGAAAAGCCATTTATTTGTAGTACATGTGGCAAAGTATAATATGCAAAAAGTGGTTCTTCAAAAAACATTGAACTATCTTTTATAGGGTTTTGTCAGTGGGGCCACTCTAAGAATTCATATGAAGCAGCACACAGGAAAACCAGAAGAATGTGATCTGTGCAATAAGAGATTTTGTAGAAAGTCAGAGCTAAAGTTGCATTTACAAAAACATAGAGGTAAGAATCGGGATATACGCTGTTTTAGTTCAATTTAAGTGACCACTCCGTGAATGATCCAGTTTTCTTGGTTATAAATAAATAATTGTATTGTTCACACTGACTCCAAACAACCTTTAGTAGTAGCATTATTTATTTATCTTTGTTTTTAAGCGAGTTTTTAAGTGACTTTCTATGTTGCTTTCCTTAGACACATATATCCTGGACATTTAATCATTCTATTCAAAATACTTATTTCACTTCTTTTAAAAATATCCTTAATAGCCCAGGAAACGAAGGTATTACTAAACAAAATCTATGGTAGTCGGGTTTAATTTTTTTTTCCGTTAGATTTTGGGGTGCTGATTACGAATCCGGCATATTCCCAAAAGAAATTTACCGGGATCACCCTGTTTACGGCCCGTAAAGGGGGTAGTTTTTGTTTTTTTGCAAAGGTAGCCCTTCCAGTGCGTTGTACACAAAAAAAACATTTATGGTAAATTATAGAGGACTATATTCCCTACAATTTCTTCAGCCACAGCATAGGTTCATCATCTAGCCTATAGCAGGGGTGGCGCCCCAAAGTTGACTACTTTTAAAAAAACATACTTCTGCAAAACAATTTTTTTTCCGTCAATACAAATGCGAATTATTATTATTATTATTATTATTATTATGTTCCTGGCAATGGAAAGCGGCCTAAGACCAATGAGTCCTTCGCTTTTGATTTTTCACTTTCAGTTTTTTGTTGTTGTTTTTCTTTAAAAATAATGCACTAATGTGTTGTTTATGGTACAAAGATTTTGGTCTAGTCTATTTTTGAAAATGTTTTTGTTTGGCGCGCTTATCGTTTCTGAGCTTAAAGAATTCCACTTATAGACTACGCGATTAGTTAAAAAGTTTTTCCTTCCAAGAAGAACAGTTCTCTCTTTTTTCAGTTTTTGGTGGTGTCCTCTGAGGTTTAAGTTTGGATTCATTTGGAATATATCTTCCAGTTTTAGGTCTGTATAGTAGTAGCCATTTAGGATCTTATGTTTCACTTAGCTGTGTGGCCATATTCTAGTTTTGGTCTAATGTAAGTGGTGTACATTTTTTTTTAATCATTTTTACAGTTTGATTTTCAAAAGCTTTTCTCATAAGGTATATTAGTTGATTGGCCTTCTTTACTGTGTGAGATATATGAGTTTCCCATTTCAGATCATCGGTGATATAGACTCCTAGGTCTTTCTGTTCTGAGACTTTTCTGAGTTCGATGCCATTTATTTGGTAGTTGTATCTAGGGTTATTTCGTCCTATGTGTAAAACAGTAGGGGAGACTAGGGAGACTTGATCCCATTTTTTTTTTTTCGTATAATGATATCTAGAAGAGAGTAGTCGAATTTCTGCTGGTATCAATGTGATCTCCCATTCATAGAGCAAATACTGATTGCTTCAAACTTAAAAGAAAAAAGTATTTATTCCAGTTATAGGCTTTTGTTTGTCCCATTGCAGGAGGGATCAAGTCTCCCACCTTAAGGTAGACTTGATCCCTCGTGTGGGGACACATGATTACCCTAATCATGTCTTGCTTTTACAATGCCCTATGGTGACCTCGCTAATTTTTGCAACGGAATATTGTTCTACCTTAAAAAAAAACAATACTTATGAAAATAAACAGTTTTAATGAACGGATTACATGTGTTTTAAGGTAGGAACTCACAAAAGAAACAAATCAAACATATCTAAAAATCAAAAACAAATTTAACCAATGGTAATATTTTTGGGAAAGTTAATTTTAAAGTTGAAATATCCACGTTTTATTTCAGGTTTTGGCAAAATTTTTCTTACTCCATCCCTTGACACAAATCCTTCATCTTTAATTATGGGAAAATGAAAGTGCTTTTTGCGTCTTCTCAAAAAGTTTACCAATATTTCCGGGATTGAAATATCATTTTCGATCACCTCTCCCACAAAATATGTTTTTCCTTTTTTCCCTTGAAGCTCTACCAATACAAAGTCTTCGACTTTTGGACAGCAGATTTCAAAGAATCCTTCCTCACTTATATCTGAGCTGTCACTTTCTTCAGCGAAGGGGTCAATATCATCTAAACTGTCGTCGCTAGCTTTCCAAGACTCTTCGCATTCTGAGCTATCACTTTCAATTTTCTTCTCTATTTTCTTTTTTTTGCTTTTATTTACTTCAATCTTTTCTGCTCTTCCCCCAAAATTTTTTTTTACAGTTGATGCCTTTTTCTCTCTTTCGGCACGTTCCGCTTCGAACTCCTGCTTTTCCGGCGTTTCAGTTATAACCTTACAACGACCTCTTTTGCGCCCTTTTGATAAAGATTTTTCTGACCTGGGAGGTGCCTTTGGGAATGGTCGAACTTCCTCTGGTGTTTTTGAAGCTAAGTTTATCACTTTCGACTGAAGTGACAAACTCGATGGGCCAGGCTGTGGAGTTGGTGTTATGGAACGAACGTCAGGGCTCTCACAGCGGTCGCTTTCTCCTCTTGGATTTGGTCTGTCAGTCACCAAGCTAGTGTGAAACTCATCGTCTCTAAAAATGTTGGAATTGAATGGAGAAAGTCCTGACACACGGAAGCCACTTAATATATTAGCAGGAGAAAATGCCTTTGGGTAAAATTCCCCGAGAATTCCCGGTATTTCGTAAATGCTTAGGTTTTTTCCAGGATTATTTGTCATCCAATCAGATGCTGCAGCGTTATAATAAGTTTTCAGTGGACCAAACACTGTACGATCCAACGGCTGTAATTTATGTGAAGTGTGTGGCGGCAGCGTCAACAAAACCAAACCATTATCTCGAGCAAAATTGATCGCTTCAAGATTCACGTGACTGTCATGATTGTCAAGGATAACGAGGTGTTTGTTATCAGAACTACAGTTGGAATATTTTTTAAAGTGTGCCAAATACTTGACAAAATTTTCTTTTGTCATCCACCCAGATGGATGACATGCTCCTGCCGAACCCGGTGATGCACCTAACACCATGCGATCTTGCCAGTTAACTCGGGGGAAAATAAGAAATGGAGGAATATGGTTTCCACATGCGTTCACTGCAGAACAAACAGTTACGAGCTGTCCTCTTTCACCCGAAGTTACCTTTGACACTTGCTTGACACCTTTCTGTCCAATAATTTTTGATGGCTTGTGCACGGTTGTCACACCCGTTTCATCGACGTTCCAAATCCTCTCAGGTGTAAACTGGTATTTGTGGATCGTAGTTCTTAATTTCTCGAAAAATGTGTCAACGGTATGTCGGTTGAATGCTGAGCAACGCGCTAAGCTAGTTGGCTCTGGTTTTCTAAGAGACAGCTCCGGATTTCTGCACATAAAGTTTCGGATCCAATCCCGGCCAGCCAATTTTTTTTTATCCCAAGAGGTCGGAATTTTCTTACTATTTGCAATTGCAAACTCGTATGCCAATTCCCTCAATTTCAGAATGGGTAGACCATAATTTAGGCGGGATGCATGCAGAAGGTAGTCCGTAAGCTGTTTTTCTTCTGCGCTAGTAAAAATGAGTGCTTTTTGAAACCCAGGTAGACGATTTTCACCCCTACGGATTATTCGTTTCAACGTCATAACATTCAGATGGTACTTCTTTGCAGTGCCTTTATAGGAAGCCCCATTTTGAACATCTGCAACAGCTGCTGCATCGGTTTCGGGATCAGGAAGTACTCTCGGTGTTGATCCTTCCTTTGGCTTATACTTTCTTGGCATCTGTAATGAAATAAAATCGAAGTACTCAACATAAATGGCAAAAATAATAGTAAGGGAGACTTGATCATGGGATCATGTCTCACTCTCTCAACAGGGATCAACTCTCCTCGCCATGCATTTGATTTTAATATCCTTAGTACTAAATACCTAACCCCTTAAACCAGGTTTCAAAAAATATCAAAATGTTTCTAAGAAAGCATAGAAACCAGCCACAAATCACAATCCCCTGTCAAGCAATATCGTAATGAACCAAAACAAATATTTGACTTACCGTAAAATAAGTTTCACATCCGAAAAACCACAAAATTTTTACACCATGCCGACAATCGGCGCGTCTTGAACTAAATGTTGTTTACAAGCTAACATGAGGTCGGCTCCATGCATTGTTGCCAATATTGTCGCAAAAAAATAAATTGAGCGCGAGATTTGAATGGGGAATCAAGTCTCCCATGTGATCAAGTCTCCCTACTCTCCCCTACACTTTTTTTCATTTAGTTTTAGCTGCCATGTTGTGTTAAAGGATTTTCATATAGTTTTTTGTCATTTGATTTTACTTTGGTTTGAATAGTTTTTGACAGATCAGAAATATACACTATAAAGAAAAGAGAAGCAAGTACAGATCCTTGTGGTACTCTACTGACGACTGGGTAACAATCAGAGCTGGTTCCATTTGCTCGAACATAGAAAGTTCTTTGCTTAAAAAAGGAGCTGCTCCATTGTAGGTACTTGCCTCTCTCGTCGCCTCTTATTCCATATTGGCTCAGTTTGTAGCAGAGTCTCTCATGTGGTACTGAATCGAAGGCTTTTTGAAAGTCGGGGTATGTAACGTCGATTGGGTTTGCCTTCGTCTAGGTTTGTAGACCAGTCGTCCAGGCAGCTGAGAAGATTTGTTGTTGTAGACCTTTTTGGCATAAAGCCATGCTGTGTAGGAGGTATGATGTCATTTTCTAAGAGAAAGGATGTTCTTTTACAAGAATTTTCATAAGTCCTTTGGACAGTGTGCACTGCAGGTCAGGCTGATGGGTCTATAATTGTGGATTATGCGTGAAACTGTAACAAATTCGGAGAAAAAATTATATATGTTTCACACGGCAAAAGATCAGATTTAATGCCTTGGCTGGTTTCCTCGCTTCGCTTTTAGCTATGGAACACTAGTCGCGGCATTAAATATTGTGCTTTTCTGCCTATTCACTTACAAGTGTCTCTGTTTTTTTTTTTTTAATTTTAATTTTAAAATAGACCGTATCTACGAGGGGTGGCGTTTGAAAGTTAAGTAGATACCTTTTTTAATTTTTTCGTAAAAA